TTGTTCTTCTTTTTCTTGTTCTTCTTGTTCGTCTTCTTCTTCTTCTTCTTCTTCTCCTTTTTCTTCTTCGAGTTCTACTTTTTCTTCTTCTTCTTCTTCTTCTGCTTTTTTTCCTCTTCTTCTTCTTCTTCTGTTTCTCCCTCCTCGTTCTGGATGACAATTTGTTGCTGTCGTTCATTATTGTCCTATGTAAAAAAATATGAGGTTTTATTTCTGGAAGAATGTTACGTTAACACAAAATGGTTCTGGTCTCTGGGGAAGCTGTGAGTTCCTGGGGGATGGAAGCAACGGGAGTGCTAAGAATTTGAGTGAAATTCTAAAATTTTTAACTGGACATTTGGCTACAAAGCAGTCTTCTTGCCTCTTGAAAATTGAAGACAAATATTTTTTTTAAAATCCACTGCCCTAGTTTTCTTTTCCAACTGAAGCCAAATACTGAAAAAGGTTGAAAAATGCCTTAAATATGAATTGTTTTTGTGTTTGTGTTGAGAAATGTGTATTTTTGATGATACTAATGACATGATAATATTTCTATGATAATGTGAAGAAAGTTAATTTGATAGACCAAGTCAAACAGATGATAGACTGAATGAAGCAAGAATTTTGCAGACTAAATGGAAGTTGACAGGCTTAATGAAGTAAATGACAGACTGAATAATCAAACAGATGACAGACTTAATAATCAAACAGATGACAGACTGTATAATCAAACAGATGACAGACTGTATAATCAAACAGTTAACAGACTGAATAATCAAACAGTTAACAGACTGAATAATCAAACAGATGACAAACTGAATGGAAGATGACAAGCTAAATCAAGCCATTGTTTAGTTTTTATTTTATTTTTTTCCCCGTTGTCTAGGCGGAGCGTGAGTCTCTGAAACGCCAGCTGGAGAACGTCCAGCGAGAACTGACCGCCAGCGGGACGGAGCAGAACAAGCTGCAGGGACAGATCCACGAGCTGGGCCGCAAGAACACGGTGCTCAAAGGTCACACGGAGGAGGTCATTCACAGGTCAAAGGTCGACCTCTCTGACCTCAAGATGGAGATGCTCAAGCAGAAGGGAGAGGTGGAGAAGGAGAAAGATCGACTGTCCAACGAAGTGGAAGGTAATTCCCCGTGCATGTTGCGGAAAAATTTCGTCAAATCTTTATTTTTTATTTTTATTTTTTTCTTTGTGTAAGTGTTTTACGGTGCTCAGAACTGCATACGGTCATATGAGCGCGCCGGACACACTGACCATTTTCAATTGGTAGGAAATTCTGGATTTTGCCTGGTGGCTGCCGAAGCCTACTTATATGGATTTTAGAGCTCCAAGGGATCTTCAACTTGCACACAGGACCTTTATTTGATATTTATATATAATATTTGAGGGCAGCAAGGTGTGCCTTTCTGGAGGGGCAAAAGTTACAATTTAGGCACAGTTTGAGCATATCATCCAAAATCAGACTATGTTTAATGTTCTTTTTTGCCGTTTGATACATTTCATATGTTTAAGGAAAACAGCCAATCGAAAGGCCACTATGCATCGCAGGTTCCGATATTTTGGTTGCATTTCTAATGCAATGGGCCTCAATGAACTGTAGATGGCGAAAGATTTCATCAATTTGTGAAAGTGTTTGAGCATTTAATCGACTTCTTGCGCCGTATGCTTCCTTGAAAGCCAAGAATATTTCTAAGTGTCTGTTGGGATAATAATAGTTGTAAAGCACATTGAGCTTGTTGTAGAGAGTGAAATATGCGAGGCATTGTGGTGAAATCAGGCGCTCGTCAAAATAATCAAATCAAAGAAATCTGCATTTTTTAGGGCTGATGGATAATTTTTCCTAACTTTTTTTTCTTTTTTTTTAGGCTCAACACCTTTTCTGTCCATTTAAAAACATATTTCTGTGTGGATCTTGTGAAAAGCATTGATTAAAGTCAAAGGCACAAATATTTTAATTTTCAGTTTCCAAGGACTTTCAGGCTATGGAAGTTACCAAACTTTGGCGGCCATTTTCTCGCTAATCTTTCCTCTGAAACCAGACAACCCTGACCTCCTTCAACCGCAAATATTTTGACTTCTATATGACATAGATGGATTTTTTTTCACCAAAAGGAAGGCATTTAACAAGCTTTAACATGGTACCGATAACCCCTTTTGACCAAAAATTGACAAGCGCCTGATCCCACCACATCGCGACACATATAATATGTACTATATAAAGGCAATTATTTTTGTCCTTATTATTATTATTTTTAGTATTACTATTTTTATTATTATTATAATTTTATTATTCTTCTGTGGACAGACCTGAGGAACCAGCTGGACATAGCAGAGACCAAAGTGCGACAACTCCAGGCGGCACTGGAGGACAAGGAGCGTGAGGCCGTGCAGCGAGTGCAGGCTGCCAGGGAGGACGAGTTTGCCAAGATGGCCGTCGTGGAGAATGAAAAGTGAGCTGGGAGAGATCGGATGTTTTTGTCCTCCATTTTTCTCTCTTTGTTTGTTTCTTTTTTTGCCTGGGGTTCTTTTTTTTTTATATTAATTTTTTTTTCGGTCTTTCTTTTCCTTCTCTTTTCTGTGTTTCTTCTTTTTCTTATCTCCTTGATGTTTTTAAATCTCCTCCTTTGTGGTTATTTTTTTTCTCTTTTTTAAAATCTCTTTCTGTCTGTCTGAATTACTTTTTCTCTGCACTAAATGACCATTAATATATCTATGTACTTCTCTATATTTAAACACACAAAAAAAGCTGTTTATGCATTGCAAAGTTGTCCTCTACTGCTCTCATTAATACCATCTTCTTTTCTTTTTTTTCTTTTGGTAAGTTTTTACAGCGCTCGCAACTGCATAAAGTCATATGATGATGAGCACGCTAATACTTCTTCTTCACCATATTATAATATATTAATCTATAGTATCTCAATTAGGCCGTAAAACATCTACAATTCCCATCACCAGGTTCGAACTGGAGACCAAGATGCAGGAGATGGAACGGCGTCGTATTGACGAGGAGAGCCGTCGTCATGCCGAGCAGGAGAAGTGGAACGAGAGAGTGAGCGACGCACAGGCGGGCCGCGACCAGGCTGAGAGGGAGCTCATCTCTGTCAAGTGAGTCGGGGGGGGTGGGCGGGGCTGGGGGTTATCTTAGTTTCTATTTTCAACTTTTTTGTTGGCTTAGCCAGTTTGTGATGTACAGTTCTTTTTTAACATTTACTGCGCCTAATTATATCTGTGACTGTCGCACGTGTTACTATCTCATCTATTACAGTCACACATGTTAATACAATCATATCTGTTACCATCATATCTGTTACAATCATCTGTAACAATAACATATTTTGCAATTACATCTATTACAATCGTATTATGTGTTACAATTACGTCTGTTACGATCACAATCACATATATATTACAATAATATATACGACCTCAATTTTGTTGATGGAGGCACATGAAAAAAGTTACATTAAAAAAAAAAATCAACGCAAAAGACCAATCCCGTCTGTCACAACCTCGCCATAACCGCGTGTGTTTCCTCCCCCCTCCCCCTCCAGAACGCGACTGAGCCACATGGAAAACCTCCAGGACCAGCTGGAGCGAGAACGTTCGGAGAACTCCACGCTCAAGTCGCGTGTCCACAAACTGGAGACGGAGCTCTCCACCTTCAACTCGGCGGAGCACGAGCTGACCGACTCGAACCTGCGGCTCAAGAACAGCGCCTCGCTGCTCCGGGAGGAGCTCAAACTGACGCAGTCGCAGCTGGAGAAACTGCAGAATAATCACGAGGTGAGGGCTCGGGGAACGAGTACGCTACCTCCTCCTCTTCTTCTTCCTCTTTTTCATCCTACTCCTCTTTCCCCACTTCCTCCTACTCCTTCTCTTCGTGCTTCTCCTCTTCCACCTCCTCCTGCTTCTCCTCTTCCACCTCCTCCTGCTTCTCCTCTTCCACCTTCTCTTACTCCTTCGTACTACTACTTCTTATTTTCCTCCTCCACCTCTTACTCTTCCCACTTCTCTTCCTCCTACTCCTACTCTTCCTCCTCCTACTCCTTCTCTTCCTCCTCATTCTCCTCCTCTTTTGTGGTCATGTGAAACGTGCTAACAAAATGAATCATTTCTCACAATCCACTAATGGAGATGTTTAAACCATGCTATTCATTCATTTTTCTGGTGGTGCTTACAAGCTGATAAAATATACTAAGCTCAGAAGCAAAATTTTTCAGGAGAGAAAAAAACTGCTTCATTCTTTTAACAATTGTACGTCTACATTAGGAATATATATATATATTTGCTTTTTTTTTTCAAAATTTAAAATCTGAATTTTGAAAAAATATTATTTGAGCCTATGTAACTGATACCACAGATTAAGAATCTGCATTAAAAAAGCAATACAAAATTGTGGGCTCAGTTTCAGTGACCAGCTAGCCAATGATATGCTTTTCTTTATTCAAACAAAAGTTTTCTGCCCTCAGATGATTCTGCTCCAGCAGCGCCAGGCCATGTCAGAAGATCGCTCACAGATGGAGCAACGACTTCACGAACTGGAGGACAAACTGGGGCAGTCGCAGACGCGCTACAGTCGCGCCTCGGCTATACACAAGAAGGTTGGTTTTTGGTTAATGATGGTACTGTCTTGCTACAGTCACGCCTTGGCTATACACAAGAAGGTTGGTTGTTGAACTCACAAATGCCAACCTGATGCTCATGCCGATATGAATTGAAAATGGCTCGTAATTTTAGAGATTCTGAATCCATATGATTCAATGAACTCTGATTCAGATGATGAAGTGCAAAATAACGGTAGTAATGGTAGTTTGAGATAAGAGAAAGAGCAGTAGGAGCCAGTACTGATATACTAGTACTAGTCTCTTAGAGTCGAGTACGACGACTAATGATTCGAGAGGTGATGCCTAAGTCATCATAAACTTATCAATTTAGTTTTCTTTATTTTGTTATTTTTTGTGTGTGTATTTTAGGACAGAAATAGATACACTCTCACAAAGACAGCAAAAATATTGTACTTACTAGTTAGGCCCAAAAAAATTGTTGAGTCCCCAAGATTTGTCGTTTTTTGAAAAGTTATAAAATATGAACAAAAAAACATAGAGTCAAAATTCTTTCTGTTCTGTAAAGCTCAACATCTCCTTCAGAAACTGGCTAATTTTCATAAATCTAACATAAATAAGTACAGAGTAACTGGATTTTGAAAAAGGTAAGAAAAAGCTCGGCCATACAAAAGAAGGTTTGTTGTTGGTTCAAGATTGTACAGAGGTAAAATAAGTAAGGAAATAGCCGCCGATGTTTGGTGACCTCCACAGATATATATATTTTAATTTTATTTTTTTTATGGACACTAAAGGTGTTGGGCAAAGCAAAACAAAAAATTATAGAAGAATGTTTTTTTTCTTTGGTTTTGTTATTTTGATGAGTGCCTGATTTCACCATGTTTGGAATCTAAAGTTGACTTCTGTGTTGACAATCCAGTCATTTTATTTCTGTGTCTGTTTCTATCCCTCTGTGTGACCAGCTAAAGAAGAAGACGGCCAAAGTGACGGACCACCTCAAGGAGAAGCTGTTGGTGCTGGAGGCTGAGAACACGGAGCTGGACCTGGAGAAAAAAGCTTTACAGTGAGTTGTTGATGTGTTATAGTGTTGTTGTGTCATTGCTTCACTGTGTCATGTGTCAGTGCGTTATGTGTCACTGCATCGTAGTGTCACTGTGTCATGAACACAGAGCTGGATCTAGAGAAGAAAGCTTTACAGTGAGTTGTTGACATGTCGCTGTGTCGTTGTGTCAGTGCGTCATGTGTTTGTGCATCATGTGTCACTACTAAAGACACCCCCGGGGCAGTGCTACTGACTGAAGTGTCTATAGGCCATTCCCAAAGGGGGGGGAGGGACAGGCAGGGCATTAACATGTTCTTATGCACAGTAGAATTGTAGATAGGCTGATTCAACAATGTCACGCTCATAACTGTGCCTGAACTGCAACAGGGAACTGCTGCTTTTTCTTTCCTCATCCTTACTATCGTCATTTTCCTCTAATTCTTTTGTATGTTTGTCACTCTCTTGTGACCCGCTACTTCCGGGGTGCCTTGATAGTCGAAGCAGACTTTGTGCTGTTGAAGCTAGAGAGGTGAGCAGAGTAAGCCTGATTCCCTGTAAGGACTTCTCTGTTGACATCCACCCCTTGGCGCTCATATGATCTTATGCAGTTGTGAGCTCCGAAAAATTTCTACTAAAAAAAAATAAAAAAGACTAAAGAAGAGTTACACTACATCTTGGTAAGTCTTTATTGTACTTCTGTCCTGGGTTTTTATATATTTGTATTCATTTGACATTCATGTTTCAGTTTGAGAACATATGCTTTGTATATATTTTACCATTATGGCCTACATTTCTCGAAAAAGAATCCATCAAAGTGGTATTCAGTCATTTTTATGTTATTTGATATGTGGAAAGTTCTTTCTGATTCTGACCATACCAGCATCTGTGGTGTAGTGGTTAGGTTAAGCACTTCACTGTCAAATGCAGGAGAGCCGAGTTTAATTCCTGAGTGTGGAGATATTTTATGTAGTATCTCAGGTTTTTCTGCTGGGAGGTTGTATCCCTGTCTGTCCAGGTTTGGTCATGACAGGCAAGGTCACGTCAGCCAGCACCTCCTAAATTATCTCAATTGTGTTGATGGGGGCATAAAAACACTACATTTAACCCTATCCGTACGCCTGGGGTCATTTTGTACCCCCGGGGTTGTATTCTTCACATTTTAGAATACTTCTAGTTCGATGTTCACTTTGAAACTTTCAGTATTTCTCAAAAAATCATTTTGACAGACTGCTAGGCAAAGCGTACGAATCGGATTAACAAGTAAATTTCCTCTCTGAAAAGTGGTGACACAGAGTTCTCCACATCGCATGGATAAGATAGTAAAACTCGACGCTCGGATAGGGTTTTTAAAAATTCTGGCAATCTCAGGAAGTGCGTACCGGTCGTTTTTCTGTACTCAATGGCATGTTTCTTGGTACTCAAACAAGCAAACAAATAATCACCACAGGAAGTGCGTGCCGGCCGACCAGTACAACCGTCTCCGTAAACAGTGGAAGGGGCTGTGGCGGCGACATCAGGAGTTCCGCACCATTCTTTTCTCCATCCCGTCGTCGGACCTCTCGGCTCGCGGGAAGACAGGAGAGTTCTTCCCATACAGGAAGACGTCTGCCGGGCAACAGCTGGACGCCTCGGCCATGTTGAATCAGAGCGCTTTGGATAACGAGCTGGTGAGTGGGGGGAGACTGGAGGGGGGTTTTGCTGTGTTCTATTTTTTTTCATTTTCTCAACGTTTTTTGTTTTTTTTTTGTTAAGAGTGTTATTAGACAGTTTAGTGAGCATACTTGCGGCAGGGCGAATCGGCCGCAATACGCCCCGTAGACTCATGTGACCGACCGTGAAGCCTCGCGTTATGGTGGGTCGCAACAACTCACAGTTTTGTTGTCCAATACGTGTTTTTAAACGGAAAAGAAAGATCTTCAAAATGGTTGTCTTTGCGTGAAAATGGATTCGGTAGAACTGGAAATATTTGCTTCTGCAAACAAGGCAATTTTTACAACGCAATAAAATAAAAACTACTGGCTGTATTATTATATTTTATATTTATGCAACTTTCTGTAGATTTAGATTATCCATTTCAGCATCTTTTGACATCAAACAACTTCTCGTAAAAATGCATACAAAAAGCCGAACCGCCTAATAGGCCAGCCAGCAACTGGACGCCCCCGCTCTCCCCTGCACACTGCGATAACGTGTTACGTAGGCATCACATTTATTTGTGATCTACTTGTTTCTCCAAGATAATATGTGTGGCTATGAAATTATGTTCTGACTAACAAAAGAATTCACAGTTTTGTTTTTATTTTACCATATTTAGCTCTTGAATAGTGTAGATGATAGCTAAATCTGGATTCCCTGTCTAGAATTAGCAGTAGTTAGGAGGCTAGCTAGCAGCTGTCAGAGAGCCAGCATCTGCTAGATCTAACTAATTAGCCTTTGGGCTTTGGAAGGGAGATAAAACTTGAATTGCACAGTTCTAATTAATTTTAGATTCAACATCTAAATATATTTTCCAGAGTAAATAATGATGTATCTCATCATAACAATCACTTTCAACTTTTACTTAAAATTAGATACAATGCTTTTCTAAGATCAGTTTTGCGCAAACTTACTTGTAGTAGGGAACAGAGTTTATAAGCCTCTGCTCAGTCTTTCTGCACCTAATAATTTTATGTTATTTTCTTAACATCAAATTGTGCCATTTTCTTATATATATATTTATGGCCAAAGAATAGCAGGAGAATTTTTCAAACCGTCAGTCTCTGACTCGACATTTTTTTTATAAATTGTGCTCATCATGTCAATGAAAATTGCTATTGATGATAACTCAAGACAATACAATTGTCATGAATAGTGAAGAAAAATGTGTGAAAAAAATAAAAGAATGAGGTGGACTGCAATTTGTCAATAAAATTGCTGGTGCAAGTGAAGATGATTTTATTATTTTCTGATCATCTTTCGCGGTTTATTAAATGTTCCAGTGGGCGTACTACTTAAATAAATGTCTTGATTAAAATTGTTCTTTACTTTATAAGCTCTTTTATGTACTTGAAAGCATCAAATATAGTTTCACCCAAATGTAAGCACAATACTTTGAAAAAGAAGGCTAGGAACTGACTTATATAATAGTCATTATAAGACTAGAGTTGTTTTTGTTTTTTTAATGGTATCCGTTTTACAATTAGAAAAGTGCTAAAAACATGTTTGAAAATCTTTAGAATGCCCTTAAAATAGGGAAATTTAATTACTATTTAGTTGTTTTACTCTTTAATAATTATGAACAGTGAAAAAAACCAAGGAGAATGATATATGATGTGTCTCAATGATATGACCATTAGCAGCAAAGATACCGTATTGCCCATTTTGTCAATTTCGGGTTATCCTTGAGGGTGGTTTGTTATCACCTAGTACCACTATAAGTACCAAAAAAGTATTTCTGTGGCTTTGTTAAGAGGTGTTTTGTAGGTGTGTGCGTTCTATGTAGAATTCCCAACAAATTTATGCATAACACTAAATTTGTTTAAATATGCTTTTTTTGTAGAGTAATGGTCGTTTATGTTGTAAAGTTGCCATTTGGTGTCACAAAAACTCAATGTTAAAAACGGCCTGACATTGGTAGGATTTTAGGTATGAAAAATCACAATAACTTTTTAACTAATATAGATATAAACTCAATTTAAATTGTTTTATTATCATAAAGGCAAAGGCTTTCAAATGATAGTATTTCAGAGCAAATCAGACAATTTTGAAATTTTCACTAAACTGCATAGTTATAAGATAGCACTAAGTTCATGAAATGTTTACAGTATTTTTTTTGGTATCATTTGTGATGTTCTAGAAGTCGAAATGTTTGCAATTTTCACTTTTTATAAAAATGTTTATATTTGTTTTGTCTGTGCCTCTATCTGTTCTTGGGACCAGTGTCTGTGGTGAAGCGGGTAGGCACTTCGCTGTCGCACACAGGAAGTCCAAGTTCAATCCCTGAGTGGTCGCACACTCATATATGACCTTATGCAGTTGCAAGCGCCGTAAAAACACTTACAAAAAAAATAATCCCTGAGTGGAGGAGAAAATTTATATCAAGTACCTTGGTCTTGGTGTGTCTGCTGGGATGTTGTATCCCTCTCAGCCCAGGGTGGCCCTGATAGTGGCAGGCAGGCTCGGAAACCAGACTCCAAAATTGTCTAAAGAGTGTCAATGGTGGTATTAAGCACACCTAGTCTACTTATAAAAAAAAAATTTTCAGTTATATTGTTCTTGGAAAAAAGCAAACCACAGATATAGGTTTTCTTTCTGTTTTTTTGGGTCAATTTCTCCTTTCCATTTCTAAGTCTGTGTACTCTGTCTCTCCTTCGCGTTTGTTTTCCCTTCTTCCAACCTTGCCCCACCCTGTTCTTTTTTACCTCTGTGCCTCCTGGCTGACCCTTTGCACCGTACCACACTTAAACCTGTGACCTCTGACCCTGTGACCCCCGTACAGGAGGAGCAGCACCAGGAAGATCTGCGAGTGTTGAGGACGCGGCTGGAAGCTCTGGACCAGGTACAGCACCGGCAGCTGGCCGAACTGACGGCCGACCTGACCCCGCGGGAGAAGCGAGATCTGGGGAAGGACGACCACCAGCCGCTGGACAGACTGGACCTCCACGGAGTAGTGGACACTGACCTGATGACCGCCACTAGCAAACTTGACCGCCGCGACGACGCTGGCTGTATGTCTGAGGAACAGGTGTCGGTGCATTCTGCCGAGTCGTGATTGCTGGCGAGAGCCGGTGGCAGGATATTCTAGGTGGTGACTCTGTATGGCTGTGTGTCTGTCTGTGTGCTTGCTTGTATTTTTGCATGTATCATGTGTGTTTGCGTTTCTGTGTCTGTGTGTGCGTGTGTATGGTTTGTGTGAGCAGAGAAAATGAGGCTGGATATGCTGAAGAAACTTAATTTGCATCTCAAACTCGGAGCAAAATGCTTTTTTAAATTTGTTTTTTTTAAGTAAAAAGGTTAAATGTTGTGAGCAAATGAACAAAAATGAAGCAGAAACGAAACGTTTTTTTTTTAGCCACTTTGTCTACTGTCAGTGAATCTAGCCTCATTTTGTCTGTCTGCAGTTGGCGCATGTACTGTTTGCAAGCCACACAGAAGCCAAACTAAATTTGTACCGGTACTTATCTTTGTATCTTTACTCATGGCAAAAATAGTGACTGCATTTTGTGAGGGTGTTTTCGACTCAGCATTGTTTGAGAAGAGATCATAGTCTCTTCTGTTGGAAAATGTGCTCCAAATTTATCTTTACTTTAACGATGTTGAAAATGTCCGCAATTGTCTGGCGGTTTTTTCCACCCATATTGTTTTTTTAGAGTTTATACCGTAGTCTTGTCTCTCTCACTTTTTCACTTTTTAATGACACTGCGTGACTTTAGAAGTTGAGATTTAGATTAATGTTTTCTCTGATGAGGTAAGGATAAAACCTTTTCGAGAGCTGAAAACTATCTTGTACCAACTCCAATTTTCCATTTTTAAAGCAAGTCACTTCTAAAATGCAGAATTCCAGTCGCCAGAATAGGACTTGGTACAAAATGAAACTGAATTTCTTCCGAACACAGGTGTCAGCCATAATAATTTTGGGCTCAAAGAGAAGATTTTACATCAGCCGTGAAAAAAACTTCCTAAAGTGGAAATTAGTACACAGAGTTAGTACAAGATAAATTCAGCTCACTTTTGCCAGGTTTCCTTCCACACTTGCATGTCTGGGATTTCCAGGGTTTTGTTTTGAACTTCATTTCAACAATCATGTGGGTGGTTGGAGGGTGCCGCATGTTGGCAGTATTTCTCCACTATCTCTCTGTTGTACTTTTTTCTGCCTGATTTTTTGTTTCTTCATCTCAGCGTGACCGTCATTGTGTTACTGAGCTCGTCATGGTCGTGTGTGCTTCCTGTACTTACTTTATCCACACTCTTTGTTGACTTATATATATATATATATATATGTGTCACGACGTGGTGGAGTCAGGCGCTTGTCAATTTTTGGGAATATGGGGTTATTGGTATTTATTAGATAATCTTAGAGCCTGTTCATTTGCCTTCCTTTTGGGGAAAGAATATCCATGTCGAATAGAAGTCGAAATATTTGCGATTTAAGAAAGTCAAGGTCGCCTGGTTTCAGAGGTAAAATTAGGGAGAAAATGGTAACTTCCATAGCCTGAGATTCCTTGGAAATAGAAAATTTATAATTTTTTAGCCTTTAATCGCAGTTTTTAAGTAAAATACAGACAAAAATGTTTTTAAATGGACATATAAATTATGAACAAGTGTTGAGCCAAAAACAGAAAATTAGAAGAAAAAAATTGCCCATCGGCCAAAAAAAAATGCTGATTTCTTCGATTTCCTTATTTTGATGAGTGCCTGATTCCACCTCGATGCCTCACATATGGTAATGGTAAAAGTCGTGACTGGATGAATGGCCAGAGGGTGTTACTGGCAAATACCAGTACTTCTTTTCTTCTTTCTCTTTCTTGTTTCTGTCTTACTTTCCCTCTGCACTAGATGTGAGGCGTGCTGACAAAATGAGTTACTTTTTCGCAATCCACAAATGGAGATACTGGCCAAAAATCTACGTTAGGGTAAAATATGTAGATATTTTATTAATGCCGTATACTTTAACTAAGTAGAGGGTTTTACGGCGCTCGCAACTGCACTATAACTTTATATGTCTTTTATTATTTCATACTTTTAAATTGTAAAAACTTCACCTATAGGGGAGTATAAGCGTGATGTATCTGTTTTCCTTACAGTAGGCTTGAATCCTTTTCCGAGAAGATCTCTTTTTGTCAGCACGCTTCAAAAATGACCATTTTCTTGATATGCTTCTCTTCACTCCAACAATGTTTATGCTTTAACTTCAAGCCTTTTGTTTCATATTCTGAGCCTTTTGTATTTTATTCTGGCATATTTGTGGCCTGTTGTTTCACAGTGCAGCCTCTCTATAACCACATCGTCGGGACTAAAAAAAATGTTGTTATAGAGAATTATCTTCTTGTAGAGAGGCAACTAAAAATGTTACTTATGATAAATTTAGGAAAAAATCGGAACCTGGGCACCATGTCGCTATACAGAGGACGTCGATATATCGAAGGTCGTTATATCGAAGGTCGTTATAGAGAGGCTGCACTGTACAAACATGCGGGTGGTTGGAGGGTGCCACAGGTGGGCAGTATTTCTCCACGATCTCTCTGTTGTATTTTCTTCTTCCTGTCTGAGCATGACCGTCATTGTGTTTATAATAATTGGCTCGTCGAGGAAGGGCATATAAATTTCCTGTACTTTTTTTTATCCACACCCTTTGAATACTTAAATATGGTGAAAGTCGTGACTGGGTGGGGAGCTGGAGGGCTTTACTGCCAAAAATACTTTTCTACCTTCTCTTTATTGTTTCTGTCTTACTCTCTCTCAGCACTAGATGTGAGGCATGCTGACAAAATTAGTTACTTCTCGCAACCCACAAATGGAGATAGGCCTACTGACCAAAAATCAACATTGGGGTCATATTTGTAGACTTTCTATTAATGCCGTATACTCTAGTAACTATAACTTGTCTTTTATTATTTCATACTTTTCAGTTGTAAAACCTTCACCTATAAGCATGAAGTGTCTATTTCCAAGGCTTGAATCCGAGAACCCATTTTGTCAGCACGCTTCACAAAAGACATTTTATTGTTATACTTTTCCTCCAACAATGTTTGTACATTTGGCCTTTGGTTTCCAATTCTGGACCTTCTGTTTTTTATTCTGGCATATTTTGGGCCTTTTGATTTAGAACTGGCCCTTTTGTTTCCTATTGTGGGCCTTTTGTTTTATACCGCGGACTTTTACCCTTGTTGTTTCTGTTTTTTATCATGTGCACAAGAAGTAGAGCAATGGTTTTGTACAATAATGTATTTCTAACAATACTTATCGTCGCCGCAGTACAACAACCCTGTATCCCACACTATGTCAAAAATACGCTTTTTTTGTTGTTTCTTTTTCTACTAAATGTAACGTTGCAGATTTTATGTCAAGTTTTTAATTTTTTTTTAAAGTAGAGATTTTACGGCGCTCGCAGCTGCATAAGGTCATATGATGAGCGCCATCAAATTTTTAAACATGTAGATGTAACTCAATAAACATCGCCAGTGCAGTATTCCAACTTTAATTTTTAACAAACATTGTTAGAGGAATTAAGTTTTTTCCTTCTCTTGTAAAATTTTGTTTTTGTGGGATACAGGCTTGTTGTACTCGAGCGATGATATTATATATATATATATCTCCTAATTTATTTATTTATTGTTTTGTACGATCTGTTGTGGCTAGAGACTGTAGAAAAAGCTGGCTGTTAGACATGTAGTCTTAACCTTTACATACCGGTCTATTATACCTGAAGACCACAGGTACAGGGGAAAAAACTACGGTAGTCACAAACTGAAAATCGTGAGGGTACCAATTTTGAAAGCTTGTTGACTCATAACTTCTGTATTTCTGTTCAACTGTTGGTTAATTAGCGTTGGTAGATTTCTCATTCAACAACACTTATCAATAATCCACCAGTCAATCAAATGTGAAGTTAAGAGTCCACAAGCTTTTAAAATTGGCACCCTCACAATTTCCAGTTTGTGACTACCGTCGTTTTCCCCCTGTGCTCTTCATATACGTATATGATAGTATATATACTGCGGGTCGGTGATGTGTTAGACTCAATGATGGCATGAATCATTTGTCAGAGGGAGAATGTTGAAAAAGGCCTTTCCTGATACTACAGAGCTATCTTACTCTTTTGATTACCGTATGGCAATTGGTCGCTTAAAAGGACAAGCGGGCTTACCCAGATTTTGGGGGTTTCCAGAAATCTTGACCGACACCAAAAGTACCTATAGGAGAAGTTTCGATTCATCGGTTATGTATATATTATTATTTGTTTAGTTATAACTCGCCTTATATTTTTAAGAAACTTGGGCAAAAACTTTACCTTCGATTTTCTCAAAAAAGCATTTTTCGGGAAAGCTCCCTTGTCCTTAAAAGCGACCAATTATTTCCAGTAAAATTAAATATTTATTTTACTACTACTGTAACAAATATATTTTATATAGATAGGTGATTTTTACAATTTGAAATCAAGATGTGAATGTTGATGATCACATATCATTCCGACTGCTTAGTCTAAGACTGGACCCCTGATGAAATGTGGCGTGTGACAGTCTCATACTGAGCAGTCCATGTATTCTACCAGTGGTTTTAGTTTTACATTTCAGCTCCAAACGTCAGTTTGGAATCCGTCCCCTCTCACTACCACTACCACTACCACCACCACCACCACCACTACCACTACCACCACTAATACATTTATTGGTACTGATCAACATTATTACTGAGAGAAGACAGTTGCTATTTACCTGCACTCATTCTCATAGATTCAAAAGACGCCATACATTAAATTTTACAAAGCCTAAATGAGCACATTTTTGGACTTATTTGCTAGTATTAATAATAACTTACAGAAGGTGGTTTAATTTCAGTTTCAGGGAAGAGTTTTACTCCTCAAGCAAAATACAAGGTAGGTTATACAAGACATGGGGCCTAGGAACAAAGGGGGGTACTACGCGTTCAGTTAAAACAGACAGTTTTTTTTTTGGTGACAAAATAATACAAAATGCAATCTTGGTACATAATGCAATCTTGGTACATAATGCAATCTTGGTAAAAACGACTTCTTTTTTTTCTGTGTGCAACCTAAGAAAATCTAGAAAGAAAAAGAGTCATCTGCAACTGCCAGTCGTTTTATTAATTTTAATATGCTGGTTCTGAATTTGATACCATTTTTACGACAGGACGTAGGTTTCAATAGTTTGCAAGTGACAATTTTATCGTCCCTAGGCGGCGTGGCAGATGAGACTGTTTCCGGCCGGTGACAACAAACAACACGGGCTGACGCACAGCCTATACCTTTGTGTGTCTGGCCGGGGAACTATCTGCTGCCTGCGGACGATCAAATTGTCGTTTATAAACTTTTTGAAAACTACGTCTTATTTATAAAAACAATAATAATAATAATATCAAATTCCCAACCAGCATCAAAATTAACTCAATGATTCGCCGGCGACTCTTTTTCTTGTTGGATTTTCAAGATCTTAAAAAACAGTATTTTTACCAAAATTGCATCATGTACAATATTAGAAACAAATAATTTTCTATTACAAAGAGGAGGAACAACTGTCAGTTTTAACTGAACGCCTGATACCCCCTTTAGATGATGGTATCTGAGTTTTAAAAAAACCCACGCCCTTGCAAATGGAGAAAATGGGAAAACCACCACAAAAAAAAAAGTTGATACAATTCTCAACCTGCAGGAGATAGCAAGGAAACAATACACTTTTATTTCATTGATGATGATAATAGTAACAGACGACCAGAAGGAAAAGAGAGAGAAGTTTCTTCACCAAGCCCGCCAGTCGCTGCTCGCTCATGCCCCCTCACTCCACCCCTCTCCCCTCAACATCTGCTCCCCCCCTCCCCCCCAGGCACTCGCAGAGCGCACGATGCAGGCTTGTTGTGGATGTCATCAGTAAGATGTTCATATGTTCCAAGCCCAAAATTTTCACTTTAATATTTTTTCCACTGCAGTTTCTTACACTCTAGTAGTAGTCTATTAGTTACACATGTGCTTTAAAAACTATTTTATCAAAATTCATAATATTTATTTCTAAATGTTGAAAAAAGTAGGCTTGCCAACAGTCCCTGATGTCCTGGGACTGCCCCAGACTGAGCAATCATGTATTTGAAAACCTTATCATATACCAGTACACTACAGCAAAACTAGTCCCACTTGATAGAACTTGATGGAATTGTTTGTTAGTAATGTTATGTAATCTGAATTTACAACTTGTCTGTCCCTGGCTACGTTGGCAAGCCTGAAAAAAATCCAGATGAGATAATGTTGGTATGATAATTGTGAAAAATATGAAACCATTTTTCCCCCTCTCCTTAAAAAAAATAATTTTGCTTTCTGTTTTGACAAAGTTGGCCTGGG